TTGGCTAGCACCACTGAAATCAAATGTCATGTGTGAACCAGGAACTACCTTTTTTTCTTGAAAGATTCCCCCCACCCAATTGAAGTAAATGGTAGGATCTGTCTTCACTTAGCAGTTTCATCAGTCTTCAGATGGAAATATTCTTAGCTAAATCAGCAGCAGCACATCTTTATGCATCAATAGCTTACATACTCACACCCACCTCATTTACTTGTCCTCCCAAAGAGTATGCTATAACAGAACAAGGATTTATATTCAGCGATGCAAGTACTCTAAAAGCCTTCATCATATTTACATGGAAAGCAACACCATCCTTCAGAATAAGCATGCTCTGACTAGGATACAATGCACAAAAATATGAGAGAATACAAAGCTTTCCTTAAGAAAAACATTTGGGTCCCTACATATTGTTTGTATTCATGCCACATTTGAAGCCACTCCTCCACGGAAGTGGCTGCACATGTCTGACACACATTCTGCAACTGCTTTATTGAGAATCAGACAGACTTAAACCTCATACTTCTCCCACATACAGAAAACAAAACAAACATTGAGGAAATCAAACTCAAAAAAGATTACACAGAAATCCTGAAAATCCTTTTTATATCTGCCACCTTGCTCACTTACCTTACAGACACCTGTACTTGAACTGTGTCCAAGTTAAAGTGCAAGTAACTTTGGGTAAACACCGTCCCTGTCATGGTGCCCCTGGAACAACAGCAGCACACTATACCAGAGTTGTAATGCAATTTGTGAAATATGCCTCTCCTTTCTTAATTTTAAATTGTTCATTACATTTCCAGTTTGTTTTGCTCTTCCTATTTAGATAAGTTCAAATAGTATATATCATCAAGGACTGGGAATAAATTGTTCAATGTACAGTTGTTCAGTTCTGGCTGGTTCAAAGAAAAGTTTAAAAGATTCAAGCAAATGTAAGTACTAAAAGAAGATTCACTGACCAAGTATTTCATTACTGTCATTGCAACTACAGAGTGATATCTCATGCCATTAAAAGAGGTAGAGTATGTACAGGGCATAAATAAGAAATGTCAAGAAACAGGCAAGGCTACATAGGGGATCACATCTGCATCCTGTCTGAAGACAGACACTATTCCTTCTGAATTATTTCTAGATATTTGGAAGGTACTTAAGCCACATGCCCCAGAATGCGCTTTTCCTCAAAACATTTGTGCAGATGATTAAAGACCATCTTTCTGCACTGGGATATTGTAACGACATAAGTCACACATCATATTGTTGTTATTAGTAAATTGATGTGAGCAACACCACTCATTACAGCTGCACAGCATCACAAGCAAAGGCAAAGGTGTTATTCAAGCCACTTGATGTAACTATCTTAACTGTTTTTCCATCCTCCTCTCAGTTAGGAAGAAGTTCCCAAGATGGATGGGAACAACCACCCTTGGTAATTACCCATATTACTGGGCAAAGCACATTCCTCAAGGCAAAGGCTTTTTCAGCTGTGCAAACAAGATCTCCCTCCTGAATTTTAACATGTTTTTTAAAGCCTTTTAGTGGAGACACAGTAAGAGCACATCTCCATTCTGTTTGGGCAATCCCGTAGCTCCAACTCACTGGCACAGGCCAGACTCGTTCAACCAGGTATGTTGAACCACAAGAGACAAAAAAGTTTTTATTTTTAAGTATGTTTGTGTGCTCTCAAGTATTTGATCATGGTGTGGGATTTTGCTCACATTGCTACACACACTAAACACCAAAAGACTATTCTTTAATAATACTTCAGTATAATTTCTTCAAAACGTTGTGACAACCTTTTCAGTAATCAACAGGCATTGAGTACTTACTTTAAACTCAAAATAAAGTCCTAAGTATTTTAAGAGTTATCAGCTCCCTTTGTTTCTTCCTCACTTTCTTAAAGATACACTAGCAATGCAAGACTAATCCAGCCTTAATGTCACATCATTAGTCATTCTTCACATTCTTCAGGTAAGTCTGGTGTTTCTGTAACTCCATGTTATTTGGAAAAACATTTCTCTGTTGTCAGTCCATTATAAAGTCAGCAACTATTGCTATAGAATACACCTAAAAATCTTCCAAATTCCTATTAACTTGGTAGTGAATAAGCCAGACATACCTTCCTATAATAACAGCTCAGCAGGTTAATCAGTAACAGCAGCAGGTAGCAGAGGATAATAGAAATCAGGGAGGATGAAAGAAGGAGCCCACAAGATTCACACTTAATCTAGTTTTACACTGATAACAAGAAAAACATTTTTCTAATTAGAAGCAACCTGGAGGTTTTTGCCAGAATGTCAGTAAGCTCATTCCACATATCAAGTATCAGTTCACTCAAGCTCACCTAAAATTGACTCATGTGGAAAGTCTCACCCCTGCAGACAGAGGTGTTTGGTAGAGCTTGACACAAAGAAGGTATGTGAACTAAACTATGTCTGTAATTAGAATTCAGAGACCAGATACACTGGTGTATCACAAAGGCTAGCTGGTAGAAGTAGCTTACTGTAGAAATTTATATTTAAAAAACCCACTAAAATGAAGGAAAGTACTTATAAAGTATGAAACTCAAAGGGATTAATAACATGTATAGATGAACAAGCATAAAAGCCTACAACGAAAGCAAGTGCACCTGCTGGGAATCTTACTGGGAAGGGAAAGCAGAGTGTAAGCTCTGGACATTGGCTACAATGATGAAAGGACTTGACACAGCAGACAAATATTTTCACACATTGGCTGTTCTTACCTTTAAGAATGTAAAAATATTTTTTATCCCAACAGGCCAACATAAAAATGTAGGCCAGCTGAGGGAGCACATGGAAGGGGACAGGGAAACTAGCAACAAAATGGAATAATCATGGCACAGCCAGTGATATAGACTACCAAGAATTCTCATTCTGCTGCCATATGCTGCATCTAATCCACTACAGGAGCCCACAATTTCCTAGATCTACATTCTACATCACACACATGAGATACATCACTTACCTTTGGGTAATCCTCCAAAGGCTGATGATAAACCAGACAAAAGATTAACACCAGTCGTGGAGCCTGCCTTCAGCCTCGCTCCTGCACCTCCCAGTGACACATTATGTAACTTGGCACCAATAAAGGAACACAAAGAGCAATCAACCACCCAAGCAGGAACCAGATGAATAAGTCTAAATCTACCAAGGAACTGAAAGACAACAAGTTTCACATCTAAACTCCTTACAGACTCTTATGCCTGCATGATCTGAAGTAAAGAAAGCCTACGAGTTGGAGGATGATACTCAATTGGTACAGTTCAAGAATTAAAGACAACAAGAGAAGAAAAAAAGCAGATCTGCAAACCTGCTATCCTTCTTTATTTATTCTGAATTAGTTCCAGGATTTGTAAAGACTTTTCTGTTTACTTGTCCCATGAGAAATGCAAGTTAATCCATTAAAAACAAAACAAATGAACACAAACATTATGGAACAGATGACCCATACTAAAAATTCTGGAAATTGACAGAGCACTTGTCATGGTTTGCAGTTCATTCCAGAACCTGACCAGCACTGGAAAAAGAAGTAACTACTGCCTCCTTAATTCTTAATCTTCAGTGAACATATACATTTACTAGCCAGCTGGCCAGCAGAATAAGCAATGTCTAATTTCGAGAATTTATCAGCTAAATCAGTGTAAATGAAAGAAAGAAAGAAAGAAAAAAAAACAGTACAAGGAAATAGAAACCTACAAAGCTTTTGCTGTTTATCATAAAAACTTTGCAACCCAGTATAGAGCTCCCATCCAACAGGACTGGGTATCTTAATCTTCTTCGGTCATCTCATAAAGCATCTTAATATTTTGGTCAGTCTAGGGGAAGTAGGGGTCGCCACGAAAAGAACTCTTCAGTCTCACAGCTCATGACTGCAGTTCTTCATTAGTACAAAATGGGTCAGCAGAGGAGGGAGGACACTTACATTCCCCTCTTCCTTCCTGCAACTATTAAATTACCACAGTGGAAGTAACCCAGCACATATAAGCCTAGCTGAATTCATGACAATGAAGTTTTTGAAGCTAACATGGGGTAAACCAGACTTCTCTCAGATTCAAACCATACTTCAGTCCTACGCCTGACTGTGACAGTTCATGTATTATTCTTGTCTTCCTTTCCTGTCCTCACAGGAAAATGCACAAAGATGAAACGAAATTGAAAGGTGACAAACATGGCTGCACAGCACACCAGTTGTACATACAGGCTCTGAAACTCTCTCTCCAGAGAGCCTGTCTCTTCTAGAGCACTAGAAGAGAGTTCTCTTCTCTAGCACTCTACTGTTATTTTGGACTCCACTTCTATCACGAAACTCAAGAGAGTTCCAGCTTTGTATCTCGCAAACCTGACTACCCAAAATGCAGGGCCTCATCCAATACCTAATGGAGAGACACTGCCCCTGTACTCTAAGAGTTAAGTCAGGGAAAATCAAAGCACCATAAGCAATCATCACCTGTCAGCTGGTTACACGAGAGCTTCTGCGTACAGAGGTATCAGTGGCCACCTGCCACTTTATCAGTGACAATCAAGCCCCACGCAACCTAGAAATTCCCAGCCTAGCCCATAAACTCCAGGTTGCGCAGGATTCCCAGCAGAGCCTCTTACAGAACTCCACGTCTTCCAGTCCAGGTCACGGAAACCTCCGTTTAACCTCAGCCAGCCCTTCACCTGACCAGCTCCTGAAGTGCTCCCCGAATGGCACAAGGCGTACCCGCCCAGGAAATGCGGCGCAGAGAGCATCAGCTGCCTGCCCCAAATTCTCTGCCTTTGGGCAGAGCTCACCTGTGACCCAGGAGCGCAGCAGCTGCTGCAGGACAGACCCAGAGGGAAGGACGTGTCAGTGCCACAGCAGCCCCCAGCAGAAGCCCTCCCACAGCAGCCTTCGCAGCGGGCAGCACTCCCCGCAGGGACATCCGGCCAACACTTTGGGAACCGCAGCCAGAGCATCCCCCTCCCGGCACTGCTTCCCCCTCGGGACAGGAGCGGGCGGGAAGGGCGGCCTCTCACCTGGAGGAGCACGGCCAGCAGGACGCACAGATACACCTGGTAAGGGCCCATCAGCCCCACCAGC